CATATCCTCAGGTGAAGATTAAAAAAAAAGCATGAAGAGGCTGGGCCAAAATGGAAGAATGACTCAGGAAACTAAAAGCCACGAAACTGGCTGCAGGCAAGTGTTTCAGGCTAAGACCATGACTCACACAAGGTGTGGGAAGCCCTGTGTTTTGGGGCAGCCTTGGGAGCAGGAGCAGGCCTGGCAGCCTTGTGTGCAGGACTAGTACTCATGGCTACTCAGGATGACTATTGTCATGGACCAAATTGTTTCTACTGCTTAGATCCTATGTTTACCTGTATTTGTTCCTGTGACACGGTCAGCTTCAGGCCTGGGATGGTAGAGAGAGCTTGTGCTTACTGGAAAGAGCTCTGGACAAAGACTAAGCTGATCCATGTTCCATCCTTACTTGTTAAATGACTGTGAGCAACTACTCACACTTCCTGCACCTCCATTTCTCCCATCTTCAAGATGGGGATAATTAAAACCCACCTCATAAGTTTGTTGTGAGAATTCATTGAGTTGAAGTGTTTAAAGCTCCAGGTACACTGCTTGGCACATAATAAGTGCTCAATAAATATTAGTTCTCTCCCCAAAACAACAACAAATGCTTGTGATGATAAGCAGTTAAATGCTGAGTGTGAACACCACCTTAGCCAGTAGATCTATTCAGCACCTGAATCTACACAGAAGCTTCAGTGACAGCTGAGGACTGATGGCCTGAATGGTGATGGTGAGAATGTGTGTGTGTGTGTGTGTGTGTGTGTGTGTGTGTGCATGCACGCACGTACGCATGCTAAATGTCCCCAAACTTTTGCTCCTCTGCAGTTGGCAGAAGCATGAGATTCTTCATTTTCTGTCTTATTCCATGATGACAAGGACTCTGCTCTGTAACTACAGTACTTTTATATCTCTAATAAGAATCAAAAGTTTATTAGAAACCATGCCTAACAACTACCACTTCCTGCGCCTCAGGTGCTTTAGCAGTCTTCACCTATGAGGCAAGTACTGCTTATTAGTCCCACTTTAGATGGAGGCAGCTGGGGCTCTGAGAAGTAAAGGAGTTACTTGAGGTTATAGGGCTGGAAAGGACTGGAGCCAGAGTTCCGGGGAGCAGAGCCACCAGCGTACCTACCCTGGACACTTGGGGGTCTTACTGGTTTCTGCTGTCTACCCTATCTAATTCATCTCAAAATCCAAGAAGCCATGTTTAGAAGGGTATGGTTATCAGTTAATGACAAAAACACTGAAGAGCACTTTCGGGAACTGCAGGCATTGCTCAGATATTGAGCCCACTCCAGAGTGTAAAAGAGAGAGCTGTGGTGTCCCCAGACACCTATACCTCACCTCCCATGAACGTAAATTTCCAGGGAACCTCCACACTACATGCTCAGCAGCTGGGGCAGTGCCTGGAGCATAGTAGGGCAGAAGCAATACGTGTCGATTGAAAAAAATGAATGAATCAGTACAAACCCACAAATATACAAATATACATAGCCTTATACAAATGCAGTTATAGGCAAATGTGCCCTATAAATAAATGTTCAAAATACTCAGTTATAGACAAGCAGATACAATAGATACTTCAATACACATACTCATGCACAATACACACCTGTGTCCCTATACACAAATTCAAATCCAAAATAAAGAGACATATGAACACATACATGTGCATGCACAGATATTATGGGCACACATATATGATCCAGATATGCACAAATGCACATCTACTCACCTCCATACACACACACAGTGATTCCCAGACACCCTCCACCTGACCCCAGGCCCAGGAAGGAGTGTCTGCTCCATGAGCCCTAGCACGTTGGAGCTTGTCAGAAAGTTCTTCACAGCCCCCGCTTAGCTGACTGGTAACTGGCCCCTGGCTTCTGGACCTCAGGGCTTGGGGTTGGCCAGGCAGGGAGGCAGCATCTCTGGCAGCCCCTCGTGGGTGGGCAGGCAGGCAACGGACGCAGAGGTCACTGGGGTGAGAGCTGGGGCTGCCCTTGCCTTTTTGCTTCTAGCTGGAATGTGAGCTCTAGGGGCCCGCCTCCCAGGCCTCCTTTCTCTCCCACAGCCACCCACCAGCCCCAGGCCTGGGCCAACCAAAGACCCCAAATCCTGCCAGGTTCTTGCAGCCAGGGAGCTGTGCACAGAGGGTGGTGGCGGTGATGAACGTTTAAGGACCATGGGAAGACACACATAAATGCACAGGAGATACAGTCACACACAGAAATTGGTGCAAACACTCACACAACGGAGCAAGACACACAAAGACACAGGAAGACATGCAAATTCACAGTCCACTGAAATGCACATTCAGACACGCTTCCAAACACACCTAGAGATGCAGCAGACACATACACACACAATCACAAAAGCAGCCAGAGATAGCAAGAGAGCAGATCCACACATAAGTGACATTGTACATACAGAAGACACACGCAGACACTCAGACTACACAGAGACTCATGATCCTCACAGTCACACCTAAGGGCTCACACACATGCACAGACACACGCAGGCACAAACACATGAAGACCCCTGTCTGCCGACCCTGCGGAGTTGGAGCATCTCCTGCTGCTGGGACCAGGAGGAAAGGCGGCACCAGGCCACTCTCCAGTTTGCCCGGGGTGGGCTCCTAGGGAGGGCCTGCGAGGACGCTTCCCACAAGAGCCATCGGTGCCCTGCCCTCTGAGTGCTTGGCCGGGAGGAGGTGCATGGGGCAGGGAGCCAGTTCTGGAGTCCGGTGGCTGGGTTTTGTCTCTGTCAGTAACACACACGCACGCTTTTCGAGTGCATACGTATGTACTATATACACGCAGGGGCACTCTTGGAACCTCAGTTTCTTCATCCTTAAAATGGGGTTAATAATCCTTTCACCCCTGAGAATTGTGGGCATGGCATGAGGTGGCACCGTGAAGGGCCAGACCAAATTGCTGCCTTCCTAGTGGTCTGGGGCCGCAGCTTCTGCAGAGGCCCCCGAAGTCTTGCGCCTTGATCGCAGACGTCAGGCTCCACAGCTGGGTGCCCCCGCCCCAGGTGGCCAGCCTGGAAGCGCGGGGGGCGAGCTGTGAGCCCCATCCCGGGGCG